ATCTTATATAAGGTACATGCACTTGGATCTGAAGCCCAAAAAATCAACAAGAAAAACGAAAAATTTGATTAAGTAAAAAAGTTTAAAGCTTGTTTTGCAAGTTTTTATAAATGATTTGTTTGTAAATAGATAGAATTGAGTAGTAAATGAGTGGATAGTACTTGTGTGTTTCATGAAATATGTGGATAAAAAATGATTTGACCATTTTTTTCATAAACGGTTTATAAACACTTGCCAAACATGTGCTTAGATGTCAAGGAACAGAATTAATTAAGATTTATATTAAACAAACAGGAAAGTTCAAATAACAGCCCACCTGTTGTTGAATGAAACTTCCTCATGGCAGTATAGCCTTCCGGCCATATAAATCTCTCATCTTGGAAATTATCAGTCTTTGACAATCTTTCCTGCATGACATCACAGGGCCACATGACATTCATTAGATGAGTTGTTAATTGCCATGGAGAAAGGTACTTTATTCATATATAAAAATGAAAATTAATTACTAAATCGATGCAACCAAAAAAGTCTCTCATTTATACCCTCTGATGTTGCATAAAATGCAGGTATATAACTATTGAACAATAAAAACTAAGTGAAGAACAGAAATCCTAGGTTTTGCAACCACGACAGCCAACTACAGCCAATTGCAGGCCCTCGTGCATATAAAATCAGATGACAGTTGAGACAAGCCATTAAATTATATAATAAAAAGTAACACCTTTCACACGCAACATAGTCCACTGGTTAAGACTGCAGTCTTTCTTCATCATGCAGTAGTGTTAATGCATGTAGATTAACCAAGGCTTAGAATTTGCAAATCCCCTCTTTCAAATGGAGAGTTTTAAGGTCTTCAAGTTTCCTCCGTATCCGTTTATTGCCCACACACTCTTCTTCAATTGATTCTTCGTCCCCTCCATTTTCATATCATGATCATCACCCGCAACACCATCTAGCAGTCGCAACATTCTTTTCTGAAGCTTCTGTTCACTAAGATACCTGATCAAATTCAAGGACACTTCAATTAGTTTCTTGAAGAGCTTCTACTCTTACTCAAATCCAACAAGTAAATGACAATAACAAAAATATGCCATTCTATCCAGGCTGCTGAACATACTCTCGACATGAAAAACATTGTCCAATTAAACATTTACAATTTACAGGTGACAGAATCTCGGATGCCACCAATTTTCATGAGGAAATGAAAATTTACATATTTAAAGGCAGAGAACCAGCAAGAAATCAGGAACCAAATTTATCCAGATGTATGCTAGGACACCTAATTAGCAACAAACATCCAAAGTAACAGAATCTAACAGATTTGCCACACTCCAAATTTCTATCCACTAGGAGTCCGGACATTATTTTTAATTGCTTACAACTTCCAATAAATCAACATTCATGACGCAATAAATGGATTTAAATGATTTTCTGAGATAAGCAAGAATAATGGCACTCGAATAAGATCTCTTTCTTTCTACACAAGATTCCAAATTCCAAATCTGTACAAGATGTCTTATTATACCCCTCACTGAGCAAACCCCTTCCTCTTCTCCATTACCCATTATGATCTGCTGACTAGTTAGGATACATGATCTAAAATGGATCAACTGAACTAGGCTCAGTAAAGAGAACTGCATAATTCAAAAATGAATTGTGCTTATATGTGTATATTAAAGCACATAGATTTAACATTTTTGAAGTAAGCAGATCATATTGTTGTCACATAGTAAAATGATATGGAAAAACTTCGACTACCAATTATCTTGCATATGAATATTATGCTTCCATTCCTCTTTCCACCTAATTCTCGCTCAACCGTGCAGACATCTTCATCTATACTCAAGAGACTAAAATAAGAAGGCAGTCAGGTCTAATTGACACTTGAACCACCATTGTATAATATTTTGGCCATCTTTATATTCATAGATTTCAAGCATGCACATAATCATGATAATTTGCTTATTAAGAGCATGTTTGGCAAATAAGTGGCTATGTTATAAGCCTTGGGGCCCACAAATTGACTGGACCATAACGCACATCCTGATTGCAAATATTTTCTTTCTGCTTCAATTTTTCTCCATTGAGTTCCTCTTCCACTCTGTTTCCTTTTGTTTTCTCTCCTTTTCAGATGTTATATTCACTTTCTATTTTTCTCTTTTTCCCCCTTTAGAATTCCATTCACCCTTCCTTTTTTAGTCTCAAGTTGAATTTAACGACATCGAAGCAGTGAAACCTGATTTAGTTCCAAAAGAGGCAAGGAACATGTTTGTCAAGATACAATACCAATGTGTGTTAAGTTAGAAAACAATTTTTGGTGGCTCTTCTTCTAAGCAATGAACATGTTTGTCAAATTACAACCAGTGTGTGTTAGAAAAATTTTTGGTGGCTCTTCTTCTAAAGTCATGTCATGTCTTATTTAATTATGTGAATCTTCTAAATTAAGAATTAATCCTGCTTCATTAAAAAGCTATCAAGACATACCCCTCGGTCTGTTGACCGATAGCTTCCCCATCACCTCTCCAGGGTCAAGATGGCACCTCTTACAAGATTCATATTCCTCCCAGTTCCCAACTGCCCTTCGCCAGTGGAAATGAAGCAAGAGGCCACCTAATGTTTTTTTGCTTGAAAAGGACTACTGCTGAGGGAGGTTAGGGGATCGGAGGCCCAACTTCCTTCTTTTCATTTTTTTTTCTTTTTTTTTTTTTTAATATTTCGCACAGCTGGGCTCTTGTCTAGTTTTTCCCTCTTGCAATTGGACATACTGCTACATAAAAGGTGATTTTTTT